GAAACAAAAACCAGAGTTAAAAGCAATGTCCCTACATCTACAGTCCAAACAGAGGCTGTTTTGTTAGATGCTTATAGAGAGTCTGCAGACAGAAGTCAATGAGGGTCAACAAAGTTCATTGGTTCAGAAGTCTCCTTCCCGCTCTTAAAAACAAAAGACACAAAATGGGTTCGTTTTCTTTCCCGAGGCACCCTTGGGTGCTGGCTCTCCTCTCAGCTGACTGCTGGCAGGAGGCCTCCAGCAGAAGCTGGACTACTGGCACACCTGTGGTTCTCTGCCTTGCAAACCTAGTGAGCTGGGCAGGCCACCAGCAATGAGGTCCAGCTGCACTGACTGATAGGCTAATGTCCCATAGCATGTCTGTCCCTTTGCTGTTTCTGACTCTGGACTTCCAATCAGACCAGATGCATGCAGAGTTACCAGCTCCAGGGTGCTGTTCCAAACCAACCTGAACAAATTGGTACATTCATGTAAAACCACCAAATCAAAGTGAACAGGCAACCTGCCCGTCCCCTCTGCTGCCAAGGAATGAACGATCAGGTCCAGGACCACCTGTCCTATTGGAAAGAGTGATTATCGCGCGCCTGGAAATGCCTTAACTTCGTACCTGGGCACACTCCACTTTGGCACACTCTCCAGTCCGGCAGGTCACTTGGCCATGGTCACACGTGCAGAACTCACACGATGAGCCCTTCCACATTTCGTCCTGATACCGCACAATCCCATTGTGGGAGCAGCTTCCGGCAGGGGGCACACACACTTCGCAGCATGCCCCATGAGGCCGAGCCCTGCTCTGACCCTGAGGTAAGAGAGGAGAGTATGGGCAAGGTTAGTGCTGTCGCGAGTTGCCCTCTGCTCCAATTCATGGTGACTCCATGTTTGACCAGTAGGACGACTTCTTAGGGTTTTCCCAGCTACACTCTTTATGCAAATAGATTTACTTTTGTGAGGCTGCTTGGTGTGTTCAAACAGCCAACCTTTTGGTTAGCAGTTGACACAAACTACTTGTGACCCCCACGCCTCTATGGGCAGGGTGCTTGGGGAAACAGCAAAAGCATTTGAACCAATAGGGGCTGAAGGCCCCTGAACATGGGCCCTTCTTCTCTACTCCTGGGCTCCAGACCCAGTTGAGATAAGCTCCCGCCACCTCCCATCTCTTTCCTAGGAAACCCCATCTTCCTTTGTATCTTTCTATAGCATCCTGAACCTTAAAAACCTTTCAATTCCTTCCAAGGGCACAATGAACTAAGCAGTGCATTTCTTAACTGACCCAGAATAAATCTTAGAAAGTCAAGCTACACCCGCCCATGTAATACCTTTCCGCATCTCAGTGGCGGGCAGGCCTGTCTGTGGCACCTGACCTCGCCCTGGTCACATATACACGTGGTACAAGCGTTTTCACTCCACTGCTCACCGTGCTGTATTTGGCAAAGAAAAAGAAAAGTAGGAAATCAAGTGGCACACGTATAAAACACAAGTACAGATGCAGAAAATGCCCGGCTTTGAGGTCATTTTTAATGAACCATGTTGAATGTACAGCTAAAAATCGGGAGCGTTTCAGGGAGTGACAGTCTCCAAGAAGAACGTCAACAAATGTGCAAAGAGAACTTCCGACTCATTTTCGTTCAACCATATTCATTATACCAAGGCATTAAAGGCACACTTTGTGCCAGGCATATCTAGAACCTGGAAACTTGTGGATAACAGGAAGCTCCGGTAGGTCGAGTTGGCTGACTAGTCAATAGTCATTCCTTAATACCTGTCCTTTCAGAAAGTCCAGCTCTCATGGACAGATGCACATTTTCCCAACTTCCCTGGCAGCTAGGTCATGGTCACTGTCAATTCATTGAGCTCAATTCTAACTGATGGGACCTGCAGGAGAAATTTACTAGAGAAGCGGGTGATCAGATAAAGACTCTCCCTTCAGATAAAACAAGGGCCCCCATCTCTCTTCTCTCCAGCCTACGTCAGTGATCAGCTGACTGAAGTGGAGGAAGTGATCTTGGGGTGAGGAAGGAACAAGAGGGACTGCAAAGCCAAGATCCTGGGGAAGACAGGGTGGAAAGTCCAAAGGACCTTAGGTCCTCAAAGTGATTACCAAACTCTGAAATCATCGTTCCCCACATGAGGTGCTATCATCCCCTGGTGGGGTGCTGGAATTTCCAGGGTGACTGCAAAATCAGTTGTCTACACTTTACCCTGAATTATGGGCTACAGGACAAAAGATCATTCACTGCCATGGGTCATTTAATTGATTTTTTCCTGCTAAGGGAGTTGGGGTGGGTATTGTAGGACATACAAGTATGGGAGCCTATTATCAACAAGAACCCTAACTGTGGACTTGTTAAAAGACAGAATAAATACTCTAATGCTTTTAACTCCTTTTATTTTTTTAAAAAGGTCTGCCTATTACAGCCAAAAGCACTAAGGCAGTTTCTTCAAAATCAGTCTAGCACAGTGCTCGTAAACCTATAATGTATCATAGGTGGCTATTGTATTGGATGATGCAGGCCTTATACATATAAAAAATTTTCCTAACTAGATATTTTCATGCAGATTTCAAGTGACCCATTTGAAATTATGAGACATTCACAATTCCTTAAATCTTAGTTCTGGATTCTCAACTAAGGGCATAACACTGATTTCTGTTTAATCTTCCTTACATGGGCTGCCAGCAAGGGAAGAAGTTGGTTGTGTGTGTGTGTGTGTGTGTGTGTGTGTGTGTGTGTGTGTGTGTGTGTGTGTGTGTGTGTGTGTTTACCTCCTTGCTTTTGAATAATGTGATTATGTTTTGTCCCAGCTGGGCATTCCTAGGACAAAACATTCATTCATTCAGTCATTCAATTCATTGAGCTCATTTTTATTTGATGCCAAGTATCTGTTAGGGGCAGTAATCTAGACTGCTCGAATAAGACTTTGAAGTTTGTAGATTCCTCCACTATCAACTCTTTCCCTTGACTCTCCCCTTGCGTCTCCCTCCACATCGGGCTGCCTGTGGATAGCAGACATGTACCACATCCCCAAAGCCTCAAAGCCAAGTGTAAACGATGGAAACCAATAATAGCTCCTTCTCCTCCTCGAGATGCAGGAACAGCGAGTTCACAAGGGTTCACGAACCAGGTGTTGCCTGCCAACACGTTCCTTTATATTTCTAATCCCCTTCAACTTAATTTTTTTTTTTTTCAAAAAGGCTTTCCGTAAAGGGAAGAAAACCCTGAGTTTCCCATGCTGGCAGCAAGTCAGGCAGGAGGGTGGGGAGGAGCAGTGGTGGAAGGGCCAGAGGGAAGCTGTGTGGGTCCCTATGTCAAAAGACCAACAGGAGAAGATCAAAGGTTACCTGGTACACTTGGCCAGCTGCCGAGCAGGGTCTCGCAGAACACTGTGGACAACATTTTCCAGGGACTCGGACTATAGTTTCATCCTTAGCACCCAAAAAAGGGGAGAGGGAAAAAAAATCCATAAGAAAGGAGCATTAACAAAATCCACAGCAGTAGGAAAATTTCAGTCACAGCCAACTCAGTCATGCGCCTCACGCACCCAAAACAGCTATTTCCTCTTGCTTAAGCTTTTATTAGTTACCTGGGGCTTTGACAAGAGTTAGGACTTCCAAAATCAGTGTAACCCTTAAGAGGTTTGCAAGTTCCTCAAGTCCTGTCCTCTGCTTACAATCGATCAAAGAAAAAATAATAACAGCCATAGAGTGAGCATTAGCCAGATACCATTCTATGTGTTTTCCAAGGCCCTATGAAGTAGATGCTTGGACCCTTGCCCTTGCTTTACAAATGAGAAACGCTAAGATCAGAGAGTTGGTGTGATTTGCTGAAGCTCACACAGCTAAATGGTAAATGATGGGCAGGGGGAGTTCTGAGGCAACTTTTACCAAACCTTTAGAATATTCACACTTCTGTTGGACCACCACTAAACTCCAGAGGGAAGGTAACCCTCCCTTGAAAACCACTTTCCTGTTCTCAGTCTTTGCATGTACATTTACATATGTGAATAATCCCATCCACTGTTCTTGAGTGTATTGTGACGACCTAGTTGGAACTTCTAAGACAGCCTCCTCTTTCTATATCAAAACAGCTGGTGGATTTGAAGAGCCAACCTTATTGTTACCAACCCACCAGCTAATCCATGGTGCCACCAAGGCCCCTTACATGTACCCTCGAAAGGTCTTTAACGTGGAGAAAGTGTCAACCATCCTTGTACATAACTGGGACTAATGCAACACAGAGATGTGTGGGTGACAGACAAAATGTCCAAATAACCATCCCTCACCCTCCTATCCCGCTCGTTCATCCTACACAATTCTTCACCCACCCACTGCCGGTTGTGTCAGACCATTGCTTTCTGCCGCCTTAAGAAAAAGAAAGCTATGCTAGCAGTCTCTTCACTAACTCCAAATAGTCCACTTCTCACTTGGATTTATTTCTTGAGACAGTTAAAGTTTATTGTGCCAACCTGGCCTATAAACACATGTGGAGTCAATTGAAGGGCGGAGGGATAAATGGCTCAGTGACCCTTGCCTGTCTAGTTCTTGGGTCTCTTGCTTTGTGATGGTCGGGCCAGGGTGCAGCTAACTGCCTTGGCTAGTTCCCTGCTTCAGCTGGCAAGGCTCACTTCCTGTAAGACGTTCCCAAGGAGAAGCCACATGGACCTACCCCAATGCAGCCCTGGGTGCTGGAGCAGCGGTGTAGAGACCCCTGCCAGTGCTGAGATGCTTACACGTTCACTGATTTGGCTTTCCTCCTGAAGTCGGCATGATAGTGTGTGTTTTGTGAGATAGAGGAGGACTTTGTGGATTGGTATTGGGTATATGGGTTAATGTTGGACTCGTGGTCTTGGGCAGCACTGGGTTGGGATGTGTTCTTGATGTGCACTTATCATTTATATAAAACTCTCTGTTATACATATAAGTGTCTGTGGATTTGTTTCTCTAAAGTACCCAGACTAACACATTTCTGTATTCTTTCAATGCCCGAAAGGTAGACATTAAAGTCACAGAAAGAGAGGTAAGAATGGACCAAGTTGCAATGATTAAGCAGCAGTAGAGCTTATTGAGAAGATACTTCCTCCAGAACAGTGAGCTTCGGGCTTTCTTACAAGATGCAGAAAATGGGATTTTATTTTCACAGCTGCCCTGGTATTCATTCTGCAAGAACAAAAAAGCAAGTGTACTGGGACAGGGGAGTGGGAAGGAATAACCTTAATGTTTCATGGACAGTTCTGGTCATACCTCAGTAGTCCTTTAACCAGTGATGTATGATCAGTTGGACGAATGCACTCCTATCTCACGGGCTTTATTTCAAACACTTGAGCCAACAACAGTTTTTGCCTTGCTTTGGACCAGATTCTTTTTTGTATTCTTCTTTATACAAGGCACGATGTCGGCTGGTGTTCTAATAAGAGTCCATGAAAATTGGACATGCATTGAAATCGCTGAGCATTTCTTTACCTCAGACAGACCCTTTCATTGTGATGAAATTTCAGCAAGGAAGCAAGATGAAGGTGCATCAGTTACCACACTATTCAGTGACTTTTTTGTAGTAAACAAATTAACTAAGGTTTATACAATTAGGTAAACAGGGAACAAACATCATCACAAATCCTGCAGGAGCCTAGAGCTAGCATCAGTACATCTTCCTCAACATAGCAACAAGTCAACTCGTGTGTGTGTGTGTGTGTGTGTGT